ATTTATATTCGTTAATTTACAATAGTCCTTGATAAATTTTTGAATGCTCGGTGGGTGTCCAGAACCAAAATTTCTTTCTCAACGATTAACAGATCGAAAGCTTGACATTTCTAGATATTGCATGTATTGCAAAAAGCTATTAGTATTGATGTATATGAGAAAAAAACGTATACTTGATAAAACTATTATAAAAAAAAACACTGACCGTACATTCGAACATCTCAATGTGATAATAAAAAAATTAGTCAAAATTAACAGACTCAAAGATAACAGAGTGGTCAAATATATAAAAATCGTAGATAATTTGTGAAACAATAAAATATACAATACTCGTGAAGTGATAATTTTCACAGTCCAAAATGTAAAGATAAATTATAAAAGAATATAGTTTTAAAAGACTGTTCCAAGATATATATTCATTAAAACATCTCGTTACGTACTGATTTTTAATTTTTATTTTAACCGATAGAAAGGTATGACACCAATAGCTAAGTGTCAAACTTTGTTTATAATAGATATATATGCTTTATTAAGACCTTCTGTGTCAGTTTGGAGATTAAGACTATTTGCTTGTTTTTTAATATTTAGCATTTCAGAGATCAACCGTTTGTTATAACATGGTTCTTCGTCTAAACTTTTAATGTTATCCCAATCGAAATCATGTTGCGTTTGCATTCTATGTTCAGTTATCACAGAATGGGTAGTCGTGTTCTAATTAATATGTTTGCGATGTTCTGCAATTCTTGTTTTTAATTGTCTACCCGTTTGTCCAACATAGGATGCATCACATTCATTGCAACAGATTTTATAGACCACGTTACGTTTTGTTGATTGTTCTGTTACGTTTTGTTGATAACAAACGGTTGATCTCTGAAATGCTAAATATTAAAAAACAAGCAAATAGTCTTAATCTCCAAACTGACACAGAAGGTCTTAATAAAGCATATATATCTATTATAAACAAAGTTTGACACTTAGCTATTGGTGTCATACCTTTCTATCGGTTAAAATAAAAATTAAAAATCAGTACGTAACGAGATGTTTTAATGAATATATATCTTGGAACAGTCTTTTAAAACTATATTCTTTTATAATTTATCTTTACATTTTGGACTGTGAAAATTATCACTTCACGAGTATTGTATATTTTATTGTTTCACAAATTATCTACGATTTTTATATATTTGACCACTCTGTTATCTTTGAGTCTGTTAATTTTGACTAATTTTTTTATTATCACATTGAGATGTTCGAATGTACGGTCAGTGTTTTTTTTTATAATAGTTTTATCAAGTATACGTTTTTTTCTCATATACATCAATACTAATAGCTTTTTGCAATACATGCAATATCTAGAAATGTCAAGCTTTCGATCTGTTAATCGTTGAGAAAGAAATTTTGGTTCTGGACACCCACCGAGCATTCAAAAATTTATCAAGGACTATTGTAAATTAACGAATATAAAT